ACACTCATGCAGACACACTTACACAAACACACGCAGACACACTCACACAAACACGTTTGCACATTCTCTCCTACACTCACACGTACACACACGTTCACACGTTCTCTCTCCCACACTCACACATGCAGGTACACTCACACGCAGACACACACACACACACGCAGACACACTCACACAAACACACACATTTGCACATTCTCTCCTACACACACACATACAGACACACACAAACACACACGTTCACACGTTCTCTCCCACACTCACACGTGCAGACATATACACACACACACGCGGACACACCCAAACACACGCAGACACACACAAACACGCACGTTCACACAGTCTCCCATACACACAGGCAGGCACACTCACACAAACACACATACACGCAGGCACTCAAACACACATTCACACATCTCTCTCCCACACACAGACACAAACACATGCAGACACACACACACGTTGACACATTCTCTCTCCCACACTCACGCATTCTCTGTCATGCACACACACACATTCACACATTCACTCACACACACAAATTATCTCATACACACACATTCACATGTTCTCTCACAGAAATGCACATTCTGTCACACTCATAAACATACATTGACACATTCACACCCCTTCACACACTCACACACGCAACACATTCACATGTTCTCACACAACACATATTCACACGTTCTCTCACACAACACGTTCACACATTATCTCTTTCACATCCAAATACGCATGCTATCAACACATACACATTCACACACAAATTCTCTCACGTGTTCCCTCACACAAACACACATTCACACACACATACACAGACACATTCACACCCCTTCACACATCCTGTCACACACACATTCATTCATGCATTGTCTCCCACACTCACACACACATTCCCTCTCATACTCACACAACATATATTCACACATTCTCTCACACAACACATTTACACATTATCTCTTCCACATTCACACAAATACACATTGTATCACACACACATATTCACACATTCTCTCACACACACATCCACACGTTCTCCTTCTCACACAGACACACTCATAGACACATTCTCATGCACACATTTACACACACACGCACATATCCTATTTCTGTCTCACACACAGAGCTACACATCCTCTCACGCTGGGACACACTTACACATGCACACATTCTCCTTCTCCCACACTCCTATGCACTCCCACACACTCCCATACCCCCATGTTCACGTATTCTCTCTCTCACATACACTCTCACATGTACTATCACACCACACACACTATTGCACTGTCACACTATCGCACTCTCATACACAGTAACACACACACACTATCACACTAACACATACTATCACACACACAATCGCACTCATACCCACACACAAACACAATCGCACTCTCACACACACACACACTATCACACACACTAACACACTCACACTCACACTCACACACAAACACACACTATTGCACTCTCACACTCACAATCACACTCATACACACACTCACACACACTCACACTATCACACACATACACTATCACACACACTAACACTCACACACAAACACACACTATTGCACTCACACACAATCACACTCATACACACACTCACACACACACAATCACATACACTATCACACACACACTAACACACACACACAAACACTATCGCACTCTCATGCACACACTCTCACACACTCACACTATCACACACACTAACACACTCACACTCACACAAACACACACTATCGCACTCTCACACTCACACACACACACTATCGCACTCTCACGTGCATCCTTTCCCACTGCAGGAAACATTGCCTAATGAATGTCTCGTGGCTGAAATGCTGATCCTGATTCCTGAAAGGCGGTTGTAATTATTAAGCTGAGAATCATGAAACACTTCTTGATATTTGAAAGGCTTGTCAAGACTAGATTAAGAACAGGTCAAATTAACAATTATGAACTAATTTTTGTAGAAATGGGAACAATAACAAAGAAGCCCAATAACCAAAAAGAAAAAAACCCCTTCCCCCGAAATGAAAAAAAAGAACTTTAAAAAAACCTTTACATAAAAGTGACTCTGCCTTAATTTTTATTCCATTCATTGCTGGACTCGGGCAGGTTCCTGCAGCTGGTCCAGCTCACAGGCTGGGAAGTCAGAGAGGAACAGGACGTGCCCACAGTCAGAGGGGCTGACCCTGTCATGCAGACCCTACCCACTTTGCCCAAAGACTGGCCACTTCTCTTTCTTTACCCCAGGACTAGAAAGTTGATTTTTCAGGATGAAATGGCTGGTGACAGAGCTCATTTCTCCTCTCACTGGATCTTCGCTTCCCTGGCATTAGCTTCTCTGTGGTCTACGGAATGCTAAGAACCCGGGAGGTATTGGAAACAGCTCCCTAGTTCTGGTTACAAAGCACAGTGCAGCCCAAAGAGAAGTTGAAAATTTGATCTGACAGGACCAAGCATCTCGTATAGGAGGTGACTTAACAGATGGATTCGTGGAGAATTTCTGTGACCAGTAAAGAGAAATTAGGCTGGAATATGGTGGATGGAAAGTGGCAGGGGCACAGGGTGGTGACTCTATCTGAAAACTGAGCTAAAAACTCAGCTTTTCATCTCTGCTCTCTTTGCCTTTCACTAAAGATACCCAGGTAACTAGGGGTCCCCTGGTGCAGAAGGGGGTCCCATGTGTGCACACTTTCAGTCCCCTCATGAGTTCAGCAACTCCTATTCAACACACATTTTCTTGCAAAACAACTTGTACCAATAGATACATGAAGATTTATAGATCCCAAGTACCTACATGCAGCTTAGGCTCAGCTGGGACCGGGACCACCTGGCTATGTTTGCCCATGGGAGCCCCTAAACTTTTCCACAGCTGTGTGTATCCTATGATTTTGAGATCATCACAGCATGAATTCATAGTACTGGACGGTACATGAAGTGAGTACACACCCACTCCCTCATTCCATCCTCATAATTCTGCTGAAAGTAGAAAGACCAATATTATTGTTATTTATTAATTTTTCACGTGAGGAAGCTGATGGTGGAAGGGGCATAAATGACTTTCCCAGGGTGCAAAGCAGGTCAGCAGTTGTCTATCTGCCCTGTGCAACATGTCACCACGGGCCACTTGTGGCTGGTGAACATTTGAAATTAGGATACTGTGACTGAATAACTGAATTTAAATTTGATTTATTCTTTTTATTTTTTTTTGTTGAGACAGAGTCTCGCTCTGTTGCCCAGGCTGGAGTGCAGTGGCCGGATCTCAGCTCACTGCAAGCTCCGCCTCCTGGGTTCACGCCATTCTCCTGCCTCAGCCTCCCGAGTAGCTGGGACTACAGGCGCCCGCCACCTCGCCCGGCTAGTTTTTTTTGTATTTTTTTAGTAGAGACGGGGTTTCACCGTGTTACCCAGGATGGTCTCGATCTCCTGACCTCGTGATCCACTCGCCTCGGCCTCCCAAAGTGCTGGGATTACAGGCTTGAGCCACTGCGCCCGGCCTGATTTATTCTTAAATTATTTTAATTTGAATGTAAATAGCCATTTGTGGCTGGTGGCCACCATATTGGGCACTATGGTGTCAGAGAGTTCCTTAAAATCTTGGCTAAATGGGAGAAAGGTTGCCTATGACCAATTCTATATGGAGTCCAATGTGGTTTCCCTTTGGGTAGAATTTCTTACCAGTCAGGTCAGTGTCGTTTAGTTTTGTCAGTGCCGTGGCCATATTCCAATGTTCCTCTGGTACCTCTTGGCACATACAAGGAAGCAGATGTGGTTTCCCTACCACTGTTCTTATAGGAGTCCCAGTGCCGAGGAGCTGTCCATGGTAGGAGAGTCCATTAGACAAGCAGCAGGCAGCAGGTTCTTTTTCAAAACTCCTCACAGGTTGTGAGTTTGGGAGCCCAGACTGCAGACCTTGCCTAGGCCCCCAGAGGCAGGAAGGAGACTTCTCAGCCTACGTTGGTCCTGCGAGGCCTATTGGCAGAGAAGGAGCAGCTGGTGTGTGTGGCTCAGGCCTGAGCGAAGCTTGTGGATCAGCTGCTGTGCCATCGCCTTCCTTGGATCTGGGTGGAGCTGGATTCATGGGGATGGAAACAGGCTGATGGATCAGGGTCATTCACAATCCTGTGCTGCACGGCTTTCTGTTTTAACTCTGTTCAGTGACTTCTTGTCAATGCGATAGCCTGCAATTTACAAGTCCATGCCAATAACAAGGGGCTCCCTGCATATACAAATACTAAGAATCACTAAATACTAAATACTAAAGAATTTGCCAACTTCTCAGCCCCCTGACACCTCCAAACACACATATGATGTTGTCATTCCATGAATTAAGGCAGGTGGGATTTTCTTACATTACTTCTAATCCCATTTGGTGAAATGAGAAATCCAGTATAGTACCTTCTTACATTGCTCATAGTTTATGTATTAAACCACATAGTGTGTGAAGTTCTTTATCACTCTTAGTCTCCTGATGCTTCCACACACCCATGAGGCCCCCACTATTCTCCACAAATTCTAAAGCTTGGAGAGTTTTAACAACTGGTCTACAGACCCCAGCTAAGTAGAAGCAGGAATAGTCAAGGTCTAGGGTGCGCTTTGTGATTGGAGGAGCAGTGAAGCTACATGAAATGGCTTGGAGGCCTTTCTTGAGTATGGAGCTTGGATTATGGCATGCCTGTGCCTGGGCTGGGGAAGGAGAGCCGTGCCTGGTGTCCGCAGAAGTGAAATGCTGGCCGAGTTACTCATCCGGTGAAAGACAGCCTGCTTTCTGCAACACGGAGCCCTAGAGACGGATCGTCAGCCCATTCTGAGGTGTGGGCTGCTGATGGGCCCCGTGAATGAGGCTCCAACAACACTGCCATGTGACTTGTTGAACTTGGCAGTCATTCTTTTGGTTGACAAATAAGAATGTGGCAATTTATTACATTCTTGACATTCTGCTGAGTCTGAGGTTTTAAATGGAACCTTGATATGTGTTTGTTTTCCAGGGTAAATGGATCCTTCTATGAGATCTTGCAAGTGGACTTTGGAATTGATAACAGCAGTGACCTGGCTGGGGCCCAGCAGATTACCTGGCAGGTGGAGTACCCGATTGAGGACTCCATGAGTGAGCTGGTCATCTCCGAGATCTTCGTCAGCCAGACAACCTTTGTGGGCATCGTCCCACTTGCCATGGTGAGGAATCGGGGGGCTTCAGAGAAAGTGTGACAAAGAAGTTTTCTTTACACATGATGCACTGTATAATCTGTTATTTCCCGTATACCTGATACACTGTTTAAACAAAGAAAATATACTTAAATTGCATTTGATCAACCTGCTTTTCATAATGGTTCCTTGGGAACTATTTAGGGTCTACTGTGTAAATCCCTTTTCATTTGTGGATATTGAGGAACTGTTTTCTGGGGAGCCCTTATTCTTTATTTTCTCAATCTGCATGCATATCAGGAACTGAGTGCTGCACTGAGTGAAAACAGTTTTGTTGAAATGCATCAGGGTTACCTGGTGGGAACAGTGGCTCTGTATGCCAAGTATCTGACCCCTTGTCAACTGGCTTTGCCCTGAAGGTTCCAAGGTAACTTACAGATTGGAAAACTCTAAAATACAGATGGACTGAAAGAGTCTTGCTGGGAACTGACCACTTTATGCTGGGTAGAGTCCCAGAGTCCACAGAACTGCCTGTGTTTCTGCTTCACTGGCCTGGAGGTGATTGGATTTCTTCCCCTGAGCTTAGTTGAAGTTATGTTCATAGTCAAGCTCAGGGGCTACCTCTGAGATCAGGGTCACGGGTGAGATTCCAGAGCCTAAATTCCAGAGATTCCACGGAGACAGAAAGTCCATGGGTACCACCTACTTAATACCCTTTTCCACACTGGAAACGTTCAACCATTTTCTGCACTGCTGTGACTTCCCTTTCTGGTACCAAAGTGTGGGATCCATGTCCAGATACTCTAGAAAAATCTGTGGGTGCTTTTGATCATTCGTCATGCAAGTTAAACAACAAAGTTGAGACTCCTTTGAACCCTACATCTTACAATTAATTCTGCCGTCCCTGAATCTCGAGTGTCTCAAGTGTGTTGAGTGTGTCGCTCTGCTGGGAACACACTCTCCCTATGTTTCCCACGTCCGGGTCCTTTTCCCCAACTCAACTGTTTATGGAGCCACATTCTATGACCTTGTTGGCTAAAACTGGCCCTCCCTCCCCTGCCAGCTCATCACCCTCTACCTGTCATCATCCTATTTTATCCTCTTCCTAGACATTATCACTGGTTGATATTTAGGATTCATTTTCTGTCTTCCTCCCCAGAAGGTGGGGACTCATGACAGTAGGGTTATCCTGGTCAGTTCTGTCCACATCATTCCCCCCTGCACCTAGCGCAATGGCTGGCACAGTTAATGTTTGTTGACTGAATGAATGGATCTGTGCTTTAGTCCAAGCTTCCAGGATGATTTAGTTTTTGAAGATTAGACTGATGGAGATCATTCCTGTGATCACTGACCCACATTGTGGTTTGAGGGCAGCCATGTCTAGTTGGGGAAGTAACTGTTAAGGAATGGAGATGGATGGTTGTCGGTTTTAAGATGGAATGAAGCTGTATCCCTTGTGCCTGGGAACTTATCTATAAATTCTCCGGCTCGGCTAGATCAGGCTGAGGTTGGGGAATCTCTACTCAAAGTCCTTACCACTTTGCTCTGTGCTTTATCTGTAGCACTCCATTCACAGTGGGTTTGGAAGCTACCATCGCTGCCACCTCTTCTACCTCCACCTTCTCTTTCCTCCTTCTCTTCCTCTTTCTTCACTTCCCTTCCTTCTCCTTCTCTTTCTCCCTCTCTTTCTTCTTCTTTTTCTCCTCCTTCCTCTTCCCCTTCCCCTTCTCCTTTTCCTTATTCCAAGGCAAGTTATGGAAAGATCAGTGGCAATTAATGCTGGACCACCCCTGCATGAAGTAAGGGAACTAGGGTACACAGCTACACAATGTACAAAACATGGGCTCACTATTGTCAGAGTCTGACGAGAAGCAGAAATCCCTCTGTAGTTGAAACAGAGCAGCTTTAAATGCAAGGACTTAAGTACACAGGGAACGAAACAGATGAGAAGCAGACGTAGAACAGAGGAGAGCCAGGCACTGTAGTAAGAGTGAGAATCTGCTCCTACCCCCAGGCCAGAGGGTGAGGGTGGAGGGGGTCTTACCAGAGCCCAGGACCTGGGGGTCACTGCTGCAGCTAGAATCACATTTGAGCAGCCTGGTTAGGGCTGGAGTGTGGGAGAGATTCAACTGTTGCGAAGGATATACCTGAGGCAGGGCTGGGAGTGGGGTGAGGAATTACCTGGCTTCTGCCTCCACCCTCCTGCCAGATCCTGCAAAGTCTTTCACTTAATCTCATCCTGCTGGCTGAGGCATAAGCTTAGGAAGCAGCATCTTCAGGGGTCAACACTACTGTGATCCAGAACTGATCAGAGGAAGGCCAGGGACTAGATCTGAGGGTGACAGGCTCCAGCCGGTGCCATTATCTTGCTGGTTTTATTACATGCTGACTCCTGTGAACCAAATCCAGCCTGTCCCTCAGAAGCTTGCATATTCAGAACGTGGCCAAGCCAAGTCTCGTTCCTCTCAGGTCTCCTTTTGGTTTCCTCGGTCCAGAATGCTCCACTACGGCTGATATCTTGTCACTTTTCACTTGAAGGTCAACTTGTGGAGAGGCCTTTCCTGGTTACATGGCTAAATTAGTCTCCCCCTTTCTATTTTCACTTATTTGTCCTTGTCTCATGCAGATCCCATCACTCTCTGTGATCCACGCTTATTTATATGAGTGTTTGTGTCCTGTCTGTCTCAGTCTAGGTCCAGCCATAAGAAAGAATGTGAACACAGAAAGTTTAACACAGAGAATTGTTAACTATCACAGAGGACTGGGATAGTGAGGGATTGGTTAGTTAGAAGTGGAGAGAACTCTAAAGGATATAGGAATGACAGATATGGGGAGCAGCTACTAGCCTGAGGGCTGAACTATAATGCTCAAAGAAGAGGTTTCCCCTGCCCATGCCCTGGAAGCAACATTTCTCGAGAGGTTGTCGTCACAGCTCACTGAATCCAGACAAGTTGCTGATGTAGCACTCGGGTAGAGCTTGATGGAAATCTGTCCGCTGCAGTGCTCGGGACAGCTGTTCACAAGGGTGATGCACTTGCTACCAAACTATTGAAGGTGGACGTTAGGGAAAGCTGCCAGCTGTGAGGTGCTGCTGGCCACCATGCACTGCAGGAGTGGGACACCAAGAAAGCCACCAATGCTGGAGTACGTCCATGCATGGCAGGAGCTGCAGAGAGAGGGCCTCAGCATCAGAAAGCCAACCCTTTCCTCCCAAACTGTCTCTCCAGCATGCTCTACTGACAAAGCCTTATGTTGTGCCCACTGGAAAAGCAAAAATATTGAAATAGGGCTCAGATCTATTTTCACAGAGCAGGTAATGAGGGGTGACCTTGGAGCTGAGAGGCCATGAATCGATAATCAGCGTACTACAGGTCCTCCCCACTGGATTTCAAGCTCCCTGATGGGAGGGGCCATGTTTGTTTTGCTCGCCAGATGTTTCTTCAGCATGGTGCCGAGTATATAGTATTTGCTCAGCAAATGAATGAATGGTTACGTCTACCATCGTAACCTGAGTCCATTGGCTAGAGAGCTCTTGCTTGCTGTATTATTAATTTTCCTGTGCTGTTCTCACAAATTACCATAAACTCAATGACCTTAAAAACCTACAAATTTATTCTCTTAGAGTTCTGGAGATCAGAAGTCCTAAGTAGGTTCCCTGGGCTAAAGCAAAGTTATCACTAGGGCTGGTTCCTTCTGGAAGCTATAGGGGAGAATTTATTCTGTCCCATTTCCAGCTTCTAGAGGCTGCCAACTTTCCTTGGCTCATGGGTCCACCTGACTCTCATCTCTGCTTCCATCATTGTATCACCTTCTCTGACTTTCCTGCTTTCTCTTCCCTTTTAAGGACCTTTGTGATGACATGGGGCCCACCCAGATAATTCAGGATAATCTCCCCATCTCAAGATCCCTAACTTAATCACACTTGGAAAGATTCCTTTGGCCGTGCCAAGTAATGTATTCACAGGTTCTGGGATTAGGACGTGGACATCTCTGGAGGAGGCTGTTATTTTCCTAGCACACTTGCTTATGCAGGATTCCAGCTCTCTCTAGTTGGAGCTTCCTCAAGCTGGGTGCTCAGGGCTCTCCATCCCTCCTCCCATGATCTGCTCTGTCGTGCTGTAGCCCCAGGCTGCTGCCTGCACCAGCTTATAGTTGGTGCCTCCCAGGCTGCTGCCTTGGGAGCTCTTTTGGCCTCCATGTCACTCTGGCACCTCTGATACCTCTGACACCTCCTAGGGATACTACTCTCCTCACCAGGGATGCACTTTCCTTGTGCTTGGCTCTTCCAGAGGACCCCAGAGCAGAGCTTCCAGAGCACCAAGGAATATGAGTCTCTTAGGCATCCCCATCGCCAGGGGGGATGTGGACAACCACGGGACAGGGGCTGGGTGGGCTCTGGTCATAGTTCCACATCACTGTCCTCTAATCCTGGGACTGGGAGGAGGAGACCATGAAGTCAAAGCCCAGCTGGCCTGTCATTCTCCACGTAGCCTCAGGCTGGCCACCTAACCTCCCTTTAGTTGCTCATGTGTGAGTTTCCAAGTGAGAGTACCTCTTCTCTCTACTTCACAGTGGTGTCAGATGGATAAACTGAGCCATAAAGAATATGAACATGCTTAAACTATCAAGGCAAATATAAAAGTCGTGTATGTAGAGGGAAAGTGTCCCAGAGAGGGCACCAGATCAGATTCAGCTGGCGTGTGGGCTTAACAATCCTCTCTATCCAGCCAGTTTCATTATCCTATTGATTTGCCTGGGAAAAATTCAATTATGATTACCTTCGAGGTAGGTGGCAGTGAGACATTTTAGTCAAGAGTGAGGGCTATTGGGTCAACCTGCCTAGTTTGAAATTTGAGCTCCAGTGCTTACTAGCTTCAAGATATTGGGCAAGTCACTCAATCTTTCTGAAGCTCCACTTCATCTGTAAACTGTAAGAATCACATTGCCTGCCTGATAGTTTTGTGAGGATTAAATTATATACTAAGGTAAAGTGTTTGCCCACTGGCCTGGCATACTGCATGCACTCAATA